ACAAAAATAATCGGTGACTAGTCGACTATCAAAATAATCGTTTGTGGCAGCCCTAGACTCTTTGGGCTTAAAGTCTTTGGTGTGGCATTAATAGCCATGGGGCAGGTTTTTATCAGTAGGAAAAGCTGTAAAACTTGTGAAAATTAAATTTAAAAGTCCAAAATTCTTGTTCTCCTTCACATTTTCCAAAGTAATCCAGCGGGCCAGATTGGAGTCTTTGCTGGGCCAATTCTGGGCCCTGGCCTTATGTTTGACACCCTTGTTTCGCGGTAATTAGTTTACTGCAAATTTGACTTTTACCCTGTTAAATCACTGCAAATTATTCATAATGTTTCCATTTTACCTAAAACAGGGCAGTTGGAGACCATTAGTTTTACGGCAGCAGTAACAGTAACTCCTGAGTGTGCTGCCTTCCTCTGACATTGTGTTTCCTAAACTCAACTCTTTGTCTAATTGCAAGCATCAGCCACATTGTTTTGTCCCAAGTTACCAGACAGTTCCCGTCAGAAAGTATGAGTATTAAACAACTATTTCAGTCATGCACATGGAGGATTGGCGCACGCACACGCGCACACACACTGTGTAGACACACAAATCCAATCACACCTCAGTCTTTTTGGCAGTCTCTCTGCTGGTTAGTGCCAGTATTTTGTCTCCTGCTTCTCTTTTCATTGGTGGAGGATAAGCGACCTTGAAATATCTCTTACTGGGTTTTGGCCAAACACATGCTATTTTATTCAGAGCCATACTCACTCCCTCTACTTCACTGTTGAAATGTTGATGATTCATGCTAGAGGCAATATTTACACCACTGCAGGTATTGGTATGCAGCTGAACATATCTGAATGAATCATCCTTTTAACATCAGCCTTAATAAGCGTCCTCAAAGTCCTTAAACTAGAATCTGTCACACTCTTCCTGTCATTGGCTCCCAGGTGATCCCCACCTCTCTCCCCTTTCTTCTACCCTCCACCCTCCCCCTGCTCACTATCTACTTTTCCATTCAAACAGCAAGTTTTGAATCATTTATACCACTGGATATTTTTTTCTTTGGATATTTTCCCCTCTTGGTGGTCTCAGTCAATAACACGCTCACCAGACAGACTTCTATGGTAATCACAGTAAGCATTAGTAAACAAGACAGCTGTGTTAGAGCCTCTTTTAGTGGAGAAGAAGCATGTTGATGTGACCAGAACAATTCCTTCACTCGGCCTGTTTTTCTGTGTTAATGAAGAGGGGCATGTACAGCGTCTTGTGATTTATGTTACATTATTAGTCGAAGCCATAATAAGCAAAGGGTGAGCTGTCAATGCGGTGACAGCTTGCAGAGTAAGTTGCGGTGCCTGTTGTAGTACATGCTGTCCCAGAGGAAGATTAGGGATATACATGCTGACTGCTCCACCTGCAGTTTATAAGCAGGTACTGCAGTTGTTTTGCTATTCAAGAAATGTCAGTGCAGTCAAGGAAAAAAAAAAAAAATGTTGTTTCCTCACCAGACACCGTGTCTGCACCACTCCACCACTGGCTCTCTATTATTTAGTGTGTGAGCTTTCAACAGCAGCCATTGGTGCAGTCATATGTTTTTATTATGCGCATGAATTTATAAATTTACATTCAGATGTGTGTGGGTTTCAGAGTGTTACATAATCAAAGGTCTGTTTGGATTTACCTGATACTCTGGCATTGCAGGTAGAGCTCACATTATATTCACCAAAATATTCACCACCTTCTCGTCCATCCTCATTACTGCTTTTTGTTTATCACAGTAATAAAACTGCCTGGAAATGTTAATGATAATGTCTGAGAGCTCGTTCATAGGGCTGATGTAAACTCTCTACTTGAAGCCGTTTGTTTCGGAGAAACAACCGAGGAAGAGTTATTACTGAAGATGATTAACTCTAATAACTGACCTGACCTGCGTTAGAATCCAGATGCTGTATTACTAATTTAATCTTTTAAGTTGTCACTATTTCCATAAATGTAACACCAACTCAAAAAGCAAGTGATAATAAAATTAGACACTGCGCTGCTTGACAGTAATCGTTACAGCCCTCGACTCTGTTGTGGTTGTCATACTTACGCAGAGCTGAACCTGTTGGAGCAATACAAAGGAGGATGCGCTCCTTTACTGGTCTTTTATGGAGTAACACAAATGCTTCAGTGAAACTGATGTTGGCGTGAAGCAGTCTGTGAATGTAAAGGGATTTATGTGTGATAGAAGTGCATTCATACTCAGCTCCGTCTCCGTGTTTTAACTGTGATAAGGCAGCTTCAGCGTCCCCTGGAGGAGTCTGTTTTGATCCTCTGATGAACAGCAGATCCATTCTACCTGCTCTCCAGAATAACCTTAACCGATGCTTGACATCAAGGATTCCCTCAAAAAGCTAATATGCCCCATCTAATTCTGTTTTTAGAAGCTTTAAACTACTAATAAATCACAGCTAATGTGATGAAGTAGTGGTGAGGAAAACTGCTTTTTTTTTTAATGCTTGCCTATTGTTTCCTCTTTCCTGCACTTATATTGCAGCAGACACAGGAAAAGATCAGATCCACCGTCTCGACGGCCACCTGCCCGTCCCAGTGATGTCCACTGCATGGTGCATACCTCCCAGCAGAGTCATAGTGGACATGGCGGGACTCCAGAGATGGGCTCACCAGTTCTAGGCCACTTCAGCCCACGGGACATGCTGCGAAGTCGCAATCACGTTGCCATAGACAGCCCTGAGCGACGGCGCCGCGCTGGCCACAGCAGTCTGACGAATATCAGTCGTCACGAGTCCCTGAAGAAGATGGAGAGCCCACCGATTCGACGTTCCACGTCCTCGGGCCAGTACACAGGCTTTACCGACGCCCATCACCACCACCACCACCACCACCACGGCGGCAAGCCCCTGGATCCGGAGACCATCGCACAGGTCAGCGCGGGACGAGCGGCGACCCGACCGCAGCTCCCTCCACCATCAAAGCCCTGCCCTGCCCTGTAAAAACATAGTCAGTCCCAGTCTTCTGCTTCCTCTGGCTGCAACCTAGTCCCTGTGCTAAAGAAACGCAAAAGACTAGCTTCACAGGCAGACGGCAGGGATCACAGTATACTCCTACACACAATATTCCTATAAATTCTGAATTTTTTGGAAAATGCCAAATATTCCAAAGTCTTGAATTTTGTCATCATTCTAATATGGCTTCTGTCATATAAGATTATATAATAGTGGAGCCATAGTCTTTTATAGGCTGTCGTTTAGAAAGCAGAGGGTTACAGAGAGCACCTTAAACTGTGCTGGGCTGTCGGTCTGCCTACTGGGAGCATGCTAAGATGAACATGTCATCTCTGCATCTCATTTGCAATCCAGAGCTATTAACATGGTGAGGGAGAAGAGCCAGTATTAAGTAATATTGTCTACGAACTTTGCATCTATACTGCATGCTTGGTGTTTTCTTAAAAAATCTCTCCTTGTGGTCTTCTTTTATGTTGTGTCTGTGTTCTCCATGTTTTTGCATGTTTATGGTCTTTTTCACTCTTAATTTCTCCATCCAATCTTGCCTTCTTGTTTTTTCTCTCTTTTTTTCATCTTAACCCTCCTGCTCGTGTCTTGCCTATGTCATTATCATCCTCTCTCACGCACATTTTCTCCTCTCCTGCAGGACATAGAGGAAACTATGAACACTGCTCTGAATGAGCTGCGAGAGCTGGAGCGGCAGAGCTCAGCCAAGCACGCCCCCGACGTGGTGTTGGACACCCTGGAGCAGCGGCAGACCTCCGGCAGCAGCGGCGGAGGTCCGACGCCGGCCAGCTCCAGCGAGTCCCTCAGCCCCATCCACGCCGTCATGCTGCGGTCAACTGCCAACACTGAGCCGCCCACCCGCCGCAGCACCAGCTCCTCCAATGATTCTGTGAGCACGTTCAAGCCCGTGGTAGCACCACGCATGGGGGTGCAGCTCAAACCCCCCGCTTTGAGGCCCAAGCCCATGGTCTTACCAAAATCAAATCAGGCCCCTCAGCCTCCTGCTAATTCTTCTCAGGACCCTCTGGATAAGTCCTGCACCATGTAACCTCCAGGGCGGGAATCGGAGAATGTAAATCAAAAACTCTCAATCTAGTTCCCAAGAGACTGTGAAACCAGTGTTTACAGTTCTCAGAGAGAGTACAAGTAATATCTAAGAGTGTGTAAAATACTTGGCCCTGGATTGGAGACATTTCTTTTTGATGGTTTGAATCTGAAAACAAGAATTTAAAAAGGATTAGATCTGAGTTATTGATGTAGGAGTTGTAGTGAAGACAGATTTGTCTGTTGTCTCAGATTTGTGTTAATATGTTTAGGTAATATTAATATTAAATAACAGATATCTTAAAAAAAAGATTTTAAAAACAACAAATCACAAAGGCTTCCGGAAAGTTTTAGAAAATGTACACATTAGTTTAGTTTACAGATGATAATGAACTGTAACTCTGAACAACATGTGGTGCATGCAGTTCTTGAACCTGTGGTGAGAGCTGTCGTGACCACAGATTAGATTTTTCTTTCCCTTTTATCTAGAATGGCCTTCGGAGGTGTTGCGAACCAGTACATAGATCATACATCAGATGTTCATTAATAGAAAAGGTGCTGTGACTTGCTGGGCAGAAAGAGTTTTAAGGAGCCAAAAGAGCCCTTTACAGATTATTTATTAACGGTACTCTGTTAATAAATGAATAGTACTGACACCAGTATGCTTTTTTCCACTCGCATGTAAACTGCAGCTTTCTTCAGCAAAGCATGCCGTCTGTTGTGTTTCGTTAAGTACAAAGATCACCTCTGTGCTGGCTTCACTCAGATTTATTTAAGCATATTGCCTGGAATGACAGATGATGATTGGATAAAACCACTATTGCTTTATGACTTTTACGTCTGAACTTTTTGATGCGTTCATAAATTCCTGCAACGTTACCTTAGGTTGTGGGAAGAAATGCGCCTGATATGTGTTTGCTTTTGCATCTGTGTAACCTTTAGGGAGAAAATGATGATGAAAAATATGTTGTTACACTGCGTGGACTACATGCCATAGCTTCCTTTTATGCCTTGTTTGGCTTTATTTACCCAAAGACATGAGTTTATAAGTCAAAGCACGGATACTGATCCTTCATGTTTAGACTCAAGGTGGCGCCCTGTGGTTGTGCTGCCAGTAGCCATGGACCTGATGACTGTTAGTTGTAAAAGCCTCCTAATACGTTCCCCCTGCTTCCTGTGCTTCTCTTTGCGAAGGTGTTTGAAAACAGCAGCTTGCTTTGAGTCCTCTAGTCTGTTTTATATTTGGGAAAGAATGTCAATAATGTTTGCATACTGCTCTCAGACTGACATTGAAGCTCTTTTCGCGCATTTACCGATTTGTGTGGATGATACTTAGAAGTGCATGGAAAGAAATGGGCTACGTGGGTCAGTCAGCTCCTATATAATGATTTCAAAATGCAATAGCCTCATAAAATTGTATGTGCCAGACTTCCAGTTTTGTGGCTGCACCCCTGTATGTCTCCATTTGTTTTTGTTTTTTTAACCTCTGTGCTGTAGAAATAACAGAGCCGGGTGCATGTCATTGGAGTGTTTGGCTAGCATAGTTACATATAGAAAAGAGTTTGGTAGTTAGGTTGCAGTGCATAAGCAATGCTCTCTAACAGCAGGTTTACACTATCTTTGACTTGACAAATATTATATGTATAAATAATTAAAGGTTAATTAATTTCTGAATTACTAACTTTCATTATTTTTGTAATCTTCTTTTTGTTATATTTGTTGTGTTTCTGGGTAGAAATCACTTAGAAGATATGATGTAGAATAAATATCCAGAGATACAGGTGTCCCACCTATAGTGTGAAGCCAGTTGTGTATATAAAAAATGTGTTTTTGTCACTATGTAACATCAGCAACAGTAGGACTCAAGTTATGCCGTCTGTAGGCTTTAAGCTGCTCTGTGCTGTTATGTACATCTGTATTCTGTGAAAGTGCCTTTGGAAATGTTTTAGAGGAACTTCAGACACTCTGCCCGGTCGCATATTAGATGCCGTGTTTTTGAGAAAATGCAGTGCAGGATGATGAAGTGTATAAGAAATTATGCCATTTTCCAAACAGTTATATGGCAGAATTGATCATAAATAAACAGCTTACTCAATGTGACATTGCACTTTTATGTATATAACTGTATATATGGCATGTAATATCATAACGTTTAGAGTTCATTCAAGGATTTCTTTCTAATAAAGGAAATAGTTTGTTGACCTTGTGTGTGTTTTTGTTTGTTTTATTGAGGAACTTTAACTGCAATGTATTAAATAGATTGACTACACTTGTGTAGATGAAGATTTAGTGCCCCTGAAAGACGTTTGAGCCAGAACAGTAAAATTACCAGTTTTGCAAAGAATAACATACACTGGTTTTGTCAAGAATAATAAAAAATTGTGGAAGCTTTCATTAAATTAGAAAACAGACTCATTGCCTTCACTGTATGGGGACAAGGACCAGCTTAGTGTCATGTTTCCCACAGAGCCTCTTTCTCAGCCAGTGTGTCTATTCTTTGTTCTGTTTGGATAGCAGAAAAGTACAGTTTCAAGATTGTAGTCATTCAGATTTGCAACAGTCAAAAAGAGAGTAGATGATTGGTAAATAGATCGATGCTTACAAAGCACTTTTCTACTTTAATTGCACACTCAAAATGCATTTTTACTATAAGCCTCATTCACCCAATCTCGCATACATTCATAAAAGTGCTTTTTTCTAAACCTACGCACACTGTCTAACATTCATGCACACTCTGTTAGATGCATTGGGACAACAGCATCTTGCGAAAGGTTACTTCAATGTGCAGAGTACAAGAGCCAGGGATCAAACCTCTAATGTTGCAGCTAGTAAACGACCTGCACTACCTTCTGAGCAATAGATGGTCCGAATAAGATGAGAGTACAGAAACTTGTGAGAGCACAACAAAAGGCAGAAAGGCCACACAAACTAAGTAGTTGGCACATTTCCTCACAGCAAAGTCCCGAGTCCTTGTTGTGAACACCGGCCAGAGCAGGGCCCTGATGTGTGGAGTTGCCTTTGTTTATTCCAGAAGTTCCTGTTTCTTCCTGCCGTGACATGATCAGTTCATTCTCCTGTCACTGTGCCTTTTAACACAGCTGCAGATGGTCCTCGGCACCACACTGCATTACAGAACGAGTTTCCCTTTTGTGTCAATAACGGCTGTCAATCTTAAATGAATGAGTCACATTTGCATAAAGAAAGAAAGGAAAAGCAATAACACAACATGTTTTTAATGTCAATCATAATTTTGAATAACTCTCAGGGATACAGATATGATGAGGATGAAAGCCATTGTTTTTACATTTAACAAAAAGCATTAAAAGATTGCAAACAATAATAAAGAAAGCAGACGCAGAACGATTGATGGAAAGTTTTCTTGTTGTCATCAAATCAGTCATTTGGGAAACTTCTTTTTTCTACATGTTATGTGCTGCTATGTGTGGGAGTTTTATTGGGATTTGGTGTTCCCCGGAGCTAGTTCCAACCTGTTTGTTCCACACTTTAGTGTGGGTCTTGAAGGCCATCTAGTTAAAACAAAGATTAAGTTGTTTTTAATACTATAGCACAACAGTTTTATTGTTATTGAGGAGAGACTAAATAAAAATAACATTTTACCTCAGCAATCCCAACCTTTCTCTCCCAAGTGTGAATGCTCTGCTTAAGCTTCTTGTATTTGTCTTTGACATGCACGTACTCAGTGATATCAGGAGCCTGATAATCTCTGAGCTGCCGTCTGAGTTTGTGCTTAAGGGCTTCAGCCGCTGAATGCTCCTGAGGAGAGAAAGATCAGGTATTAAAATTGGGGGTTTTAGATTCTTGAAGCTTTACTAATTTCGACAAACCTTCTCAGCATGCTCTAACTCCTCCTCTATTTTTGCCAGCATCTGCCTCACTTTGGCGATGTCATTGCTCAGCTCTGCCGACATCAATGTCACACTCTGCAGCTTTTCCTGCTCACACAGATATGACCGATAAGCTGAAAGTTATACTGGAAATAACGCCAAGAACACCATCTGACAAATTTCCAGCGAGTTACCTTGTGTGAGCTGAGAACACGCTGAACCTTCAAACTGTTGATCTGAAGTTCATCCATGTTTTTGTCGGGTCTTGGCTCGTCATACTCCTGAAAAAATTCCTAGATGCAATACACAGAACTTTGCATTTACACACTAGCAAAATGAGCAAGTATATAAATGGTTACAAACATGTAAGACACTGACAAACTTTGGCAGCAGAAAGCAGACTGTACATTGATTTTCTGTCCTCTCGTGTAACAGTCTAACCTACACAATCTCTTGACAGCAACACATTTGCTTTCATTCTCTACCTCATACTCAGCTTTCCCCATCTCTTTTTTCTGCTGCAGCTGTTGCAGGAGCTTCTTCTCGTGGAGCTTTAGTGCCTGATTCTTTACATTTAAGGTCTCCAGCTGGGTGACCTGTACATACGTTTGAACAGAACAAATGAGGTGAAAGGGAGGTTATAAACAGGACTGAAGAAAGCGGATAACTAACAAGGGTGAAAAAAAGTTCCTTACGCTGCTTGCTTCAATCTTTAGAAGCTAACCCATCTTAATAATCTTAGTAATTTTATTGACTTTATATAAAATACTTGGGTAAAATTAATAATATGACTTTAAAAGGGTAAAAAGTCTCTGGCCTTTGGAAATGTGCATACCTCTAACCTGGAACAATCTATTCAAAAACTGCTGTGCACATGTTGATGTCACTGTTTTGTTAAAAAGACAAGTTTTGTTACCTTTAACTTGTCTTCAATGTACTGGAGCACCTTCTCTGGCTCTTTCATTTCTAGCGTGTTGTCCTTCGTAGGTTTGACCAGTCTACGCTCAAAATCGTTCTTGGCCTTCCTGACATCAGCCAGACGTAATTCTGCTTCCTTCATAGAGGCCTGAAAAGACGAGTATGTTTCATGAATAAATGTACCTGAGGTCAGTGTTTCTATATATTGTGTTTTATTTTTTGCATGTGTGTGTTGTAACCTTGTAGTTGTCCTTGTTTTTTTCAGATTTCAGTTTGAGTTTCTCCCAGTCCTGTTGTGTTTCTCTTACTTCTCTCTGTGCTACGCACAGTTTTTGTTCTAAAGTGAGCGGCTGAAAACGGTCCGATATGTTGGACCTGGACTTTCGCCTCCATCCAACGCCCTGAAGGCACAAAAACTCAAAATAGTATCCTATCATGTTTTGTTCAAGAAAGAGAATGCAAATGTTTTCAGTCAAACATTTATTGGCTGGAAAGAGTTGATGCAATAAGATCTGCTTTATTTTGGCCTGTCTCAAACAGTAAATAAATTGACATTACCTAAAACTATAAAAACATTACACAGCAGCTGGGACAGCCATAAAAAGGACTTTGTTCTTCACTGTCTATCTAATTCACAAGTTCTGACAAATAAAGTGTGCTGTGTGTAGATATGTGTTGAGTGTGAAGCATTAATCTGCAGTCTTTACTTTTAGGAAGAGACCTATAATGGCAAGTAAGGATTTGCATTAAAGGTTATTTAATAAACCTTTATGGTACTTACCCCAGCCCCCAGCTTCAAGCTTCGTGTTGCCCCGGCACCCTCTCCCCCAGCCTGGGATAGCAGGTCTTGTGGATCCAGGCGGCAAATGAAGCTTTCAAACACGTCATTCTCTGCCAGGAGGGCTGCATTGGAATGCCTCGGGGAAGAATGAATAAGAAAAGCAGGCAAAATAAATAAAAAAAATTTTAAAAATCACTTAAAAATGCTTGGAGAAGTAACCGCTTACTTTAAGAAAAATTAATTAGAAAAAACATTATGTAGAGGGTGGAACAGCTCACCCTAAACCTTTCTAGCTAATGGTTAATAGACGAAAAGTTGCATTTTAGTAACATTTAACTGAAATTACAGACCATTAGCAGAGCATTAGCAAGTAACTTTGGTGGGTTGTACGGAATAAGTTAAATAAAGTCAGTTGTAGGGTTACAGCCGATAGGACGGAGTTATTTTTAGTTTAATAAATATGAACTGTCATTACTTTAGTTCTTCGATCCGTTTGTAAATGAGTTCCTTCTGTTCTTGGGTGACCTCGTCATTTTCCTCGATCAAGGAAAGCTCGTCCTCCATGGTTGCTAAGGTACACTGAACCTCTGGTTTCTATGGCCTAGTGTTGCATTCACGCACTTCTGGAAACGTTTTACTCAGTAAGTTTTGCAATGAGAGAAATGGATGTAATCTCAGTCAAGATATAATCGTCTCCTCTCTCCTGTTTCGTCCTGCACTTCTCTTTTCCCCCACTTTCCTTTGGATGTTGTACAACCATCGCCCTTTCCTCTCCTCCTCCCATTGCTTTTGCCACCTTTCCTTCATTTTGTGTCGTATTCTGCTCTTGAGCTCCGTCCTACTCACACTAATAACCATATCTACCATCGGTCTCCTTGTTGCGACTTTTGCTGTCCTATCTGCCAGAGTGAGTTAATCGTGTCTGGAACTTCCCACAAAAGGCGCTCACCTCACCTCACACACCCACTACCTTGTCAAAGTTCCTGCCAGGTGACACTTGTTACATTTCTTTTTTACGATTGATTTAGATTTAATGCAACCACATGAAAATCCACTACTACTAATTTAAGATAAAATTCACTTTATTTTCAGATTTTATATGCTACGCAATCTCGCCCTCGTGACAATATCTATTTATTTTTGTATAAAAAAAAAAAAAAACCTTGTAGCGATAACTTTCCTTCTGGGCAGGGCGACCATTATACAAACCTTCCTATGTTTAAGTTTCAGTTTCATTTCCCAGTAACCGAACGTAGCCGGAGATTTCGGTCAGAGCCATAACTGGGCTGCTTTGGAATTCTTAGCTAAAGGAACAAATGTCATTGCAGAATGACATCGACTCTGTCTAAATTCATCATCAAGACCTTGTGCGACAACCAGGGGTGTTTGGAATTCGGGAAATTAGAAGATCAGCTCGCACAGAAATTCACGGTTGCGGATTCGGTCCTACGCACTGTGCTCTTTGACGATGGTAAAATAGCCATTAAAGAAAGAAGAAAGACGGGAAGTAAAATAATCAGCCCGGATAGTCTGGTAGTGGCTAAAACCAATCTGCGGCTCTGTCAGAAAAAAGCTGGAGAGTGTCCGCAGTGCGATGGCTTACACCTGTGCAAGTATTTTGTTTGCGGAGAGTGCACGTTCGGGTAAGTGACCTATTTATTTATTTATTTTTGTAGAAAGCTTTCCTATAATAACAAAGACTCGGTGATAGTTATCACCGCCATAAATGAGCAAAAAGGTGCTCAATCATTCACGATGAGGTTTTTCAACAAGCTACGCAGAGCGCAAAAGGGCTTTGCGTGGGTTTAAACTTTAAAGCCCAGCAAATAATCGCAGATTCAGGTTTGTTTTCCTGCTATTAGTCATCGCCTATGGTTGCAACGTATCGTCATCTTATTGGTGCTTCATAGTGATCTCATTCCCACAGCAATTAATCTTCAGTCTGAACACAGGTGTAAATAAAAAACCCCACAGGTAAAAGTGCTTTTAATACTCAGTGTAAATAGTGAATGATGATGGAATAAGCACCATGACCTTATAAGAACTGTTCTTTTGACTTTACATAAAATCCGAGCTGAATTTCATGAGACATTGTGGACATCATCGTAATCAAAATGGCTAAATGTGACTTTAGCTTGGCCTGATGGAGACTGCGCTCCCTCGCATTCATTATGAATTTTACGAATTTGGGTCACTCCATTTTTTCCTAATGTTTGCACGATTGTAGTGCAACATTTTGACCAGAAGATGGCAGCAATTTAACAGTTCAATTACAGGACTTTGATCATTTTTTCCCAAATGCAAAACACCCATAATGTAAATAAATGATGGAGAGCCTACTGCTCACGCTGAAGGTCATGCCTTCATCTGGATACGACGTTTTTAGTGGCAGAAACGTTAAACTCATCCAAGTGACTTCTTTAGTCTCAGCTGAATGCAGATGTCCCCTACCTTATAAACAGGCCATTTGCATAATGACTTGAACTAGCACCACCGGATACTATCTAAAATTATAGATACGTTGGCTCAGACACTAAACTCAAAAGCAATAATATTGAAAAATATAAGTAAAACAGAATATTTTAATTGGATGGCATGTTGTCATTTACAGAGGGAAGTGTAAGAATCCACACAGTGTGGCATTTCCATACAATGCAGAGCTTTTGAAGAAGTACAGTCTTCATGATTTCACAGAGAAACAGCTGTTCCAGCTGTTACTGCAGAATGATCCTTATCTGCTTCCTGAGGTATGTTTTAGCGGTTTGCAATTGTGGAGATTGTCTTGTTCTTCTGTTGAAAATATGTGAACTTCATCCTCCTTTATGATTCCTTTTAGATATGCTCACATTACAACAAGGGCAACGGTCAGCACGGCTCATGTAAATTCACCACCTCGTGCACAAAGCTCCATGTCTGCCAGCATTTTTTCCAGGGTGACTGCAAATTTGGCTCTTCGTGCAAACGACAGCATGGCCTCGATGGACATGCGATGAAGCTCTTCCGAGGATTCAGTCGTGAGAATATTGAAAACCTTCACAAGATCTACAGAAATAAATGTATCATCATGGGTCAACAGGAGAGGCAGGGTACTGGTGTCACTGGTAAAGCAGATTTTATAAAAACATGTCTTGCACAGATTTTTGTCAATCAGCAAGACCAGTAATCTACACAACATAAATGTGTCTCTTCTGTAGTGCTAACAGAAGTAAGAACCTCAACTAAGCAGCCTCAGCAGTCTTCCCAGCAGTCTTCCCACAGCAATCCTGGATCCCCAACCAGTTCCGTTTGTCCATCTAAGCCACCGAGCAATGCTGACATGAATGAAATCTGCCTTTATTTCATTCGCAGACATTGCGGGTTCAAAGGTAATGATCATGATGGTGGAAGCTGCCTTTCATATCTACAATACAGTAACATCTCAACACGTATAGCTCTATGTCCACATGTGCACTGCCTAATAAATGAATGCTGGTGTGTGTTTTTCATAGACAAGTGTGCACGTGTCCATTGGCACCTGCCCTACAGATGGCAGGTTTTAGACACTGATGGTGTAACCTGGAAGGACTTGCCCACTATGGAGGAAATTGAAAAGGCATACTGTGACCCAGCAAAAGAGACGAGCTGCATGGATCAACCTTCGTCCGGCTTAGGGCTTTTCAGATTTCTGTCTCTTCAAAGGTACATGAAGAAACAGAACACACAGATGTACTGTTTGTGGTGCATCTGCAGTAAAAGATTAAATGCATATTACTGTTATTCACATGAGCTCAGGTCTATAGATTTCCATTCATTTTGATGGAATTTACATCCCTCTTAGCTCTTCATCCCCTGTTGAGAAGTCGGTGGACTTCAGGACCATGAGATATGGAAACTCTCCAGTTCGTCGCCTGTCCACTGCCTCCTCTGTCTCAAAGCCCCCTCACTTCATTCTCACTACACAGTGGGTCTGGTACTGGAAGGACGATGGTGGGAAATGGTTGGAATATGGAAAGGTGACTTATTGTGATTCTTTCAATGAGTATGAAGATCTTGCCACCCTTGACAGAACTTTTCTAAGGGAACAGATGTATTACAGTTAGATATGCCAAGTAATTTAATCACTGGCATGTTTGGAATCTAAACTTTGGTGGATTGCTTGTTGTGTTCTCTTTAGGGTGATGAGGAATCATCAGTGACTTCTGAAACCCTGGAGAATGTATACCTTGAAGACAGAGATACAGAGATTCCGTTCAGTGCTGGCAAACAGCAATATATTCTCCATTTCAAAGATGCGACAGGAGACCAGGCGATGTATCAGCAGAATATAAAATTCAAAACCAAGCGAGATGTCAGGAGGAGGCCTCGCTTTGTGTCTGCTCATGACGTGGAGGACAAGCTGAAGAGGTATTTTGACTTCCACTTGTGCACATTGATTCAGGCTATTCAAATATTTCTAGTCTTGGTTGGTTGCTGTCTTAAGTGAGTTTACCAACAAAATGAATACTGCATGTCTTCTCTGCAGTACGTCATCAAAGAGCTCCAGCTCCTCCACAGCTGAAAGCGTACCTTCGCACTGGGACAAAAATGCCATACCTGAGTTTGGATACAAGGTATCTTTCTTCTATTTAAAAAACAAAAACCCAACCCTGTGCTCAGTGTTACTAAACACTAAACCTATATTTCTACTTTTATTGTTAACTTGTATATTTGCACTTTATTCTTGTCTTTCAGCTAATACATCTCTCCCAATCTGCACCAGATTACAATCTGATTGAGTCTTTATTTAGAAGCACAATGCCGGTGAAAAAAATTAACAGCATCCAAAGGATCCAGAACCCGTCTCTGTGGAGAGTCTTCCAGTGGTAAATTACTGACAGAGATTTTTGGCTTTTTTAAAGAAATGATTTGAACTTTTGGAGGAACCAGGTGATAAAATAGTGAATCTACTCTACACAGTGTAGTTTACATTAGCAGCAACACAACAGAACTTGTTACTGTTAAAAAGTAGAAAGAAAAAAAACGAAACTGTTTTGCAGGTGTTGGACTAAGTTCTGGCCTGGCACAGGAAATAGCTGAATCTTCACTAGCTATCTGATGGGGTTATTAGTTTTCTTTCCCCCTCATATCAAGTCTTTATACTAAATTAAGCAGCTGGATGCAGACAGAAAGGTTTTACACACAAATCTCTGCAAGAAGGATGTTTCCACTTAAATGGCATACACTGTGTTCAGGCAGAAAGAGCAGATGAAGGGGAGGAACGGAGGAGACCCCTCAATGATGTATTTGTTCCACGGGACTGACGAGTCTCTGATAGAGGCCATCTGTGAGCAAAACTTTGACTGGAGGATGTGTGGGGTCCATGGCACAGCCTATGGCAAAGGTACAGCAAAGCAAGTATAATGGACACATTGTAGCTAAAATTTGATACTGGAAAGCCATAAAAGGAATGCATCTTCCTCAAAACGAACACCAGAAAACTCTTGAGTACTAAATCACTAGCATTTTTTTCTTTGAACTATATTAACAATAACACTTTTTTTTATTTTAGGGAGCTACTTTGCCAAAGATGCATCTTACTCTGACAGATACGCCAGTGTCAAAGCAACTCCAAAGAAGATTATGTTTGTTGCCCTGGTCCTAGTAGGGGACTACACCAAGGGGAGAAGCACGTACGTTCGCCCGCCGCTAAAATCAAACGGAAGAACGTTCTACGATAGTTGCGTTGACTCTGAGAACAAACCCAGCATTTACGTTGTCTTTGAAAAGCAGCAGATTTACCCAGAATACATTATCAACTACTCATAAGTCGCAGTTTGCCTTTCCTTTTTCAGACTAGTGAAACTCTGTGGATGGATGTTCTTTAGTTTCGTGGTGTATTTGAAAGTTTAGAATTTTGCAAATGTAGAAAAATGATTAAAATAATGGTTAACAAATGACAAAATTTTTAAAAAAAATTCAATTAATGAACACTCCACAGGCTATCATTTTACATTTTGATTATTCAGAGCTCATATGTATAAACAGCCTTTAATTTTAAATGTAGCTTCTTATTCCTGTGACATGCTCAGTGACTTCTCATGTCTGTTTTAAATGCAGTGTCATGTAAGTTTTTTTCAATTCTGTAACCAAAAGAGACAAAATTCAGCCCGTTTCTGAAAGAAGAGAAGACCAGGTTTATAAATGCTTGGTGTGTCTCAGAAGCACAAAGCACTCACAAAGTACTGTCGTCTGACCACAGAGAGAAAAATCAGCTCTGCTATATTTAACATTACCGCAACTCCTCAACTATTTTGGGCTTAAGAAAATTCAAATTGTTCCTAAAAGATGACAATTTAGTAATTTTACAGCAATTATAAAATAAAAAAAAGCCCAGGCTGCCTGCATGATACTTTCTTATTGCAGTCCAATAAGTCGCAATCATCAGCCTTGTGAAATTGTGGTGATTTCTCCAAATCTTTTAATCATAATGTGTCAGAAGTTGAGAGTGAGAAAGGTTACTATAGAACTACCAAACTATTTGATTATAGTATGCAGTATTTTCAGTATTATAATATTATCTTGAGAAGGGACTTCGAGTTGAACTTGAAATCATTGTAATGGTTTTTCTTGAACTGTATCAGAAAATCCTTATTTTGCACTTGAAACTTTACGCATTTCCTTTTCCCTCACAAAATCTCTGCTTTCATGCTTGAAGTATATCCTTAGGCAGAAACGCTTAGCAAAGTACATCAGTGCAAGCCTTAGCAAGGACAACAGATGATCTGGTGTCAAGATACAGAACAAAATTGGATTGTTTGTTTTGTTGCAAAATAAACACATTGCAAAACTGAAAAAAGGAGTAACGTTACCACTTTGTTTATATATTTGCATCAACAACAAGCTGCATTTCACCCATTTCATATGTAAATCAATTAAACAGATTGTTTTGTTTCCTAGAAAGATTTGAATGAATCATCAATAAAACACTTTTAGATCATTTATCTTGAGGCCTAATAACATTTCAGCACTGCAGTTTCTCAAGTAATGGCCAAAAATCTAAATTGACAGATTGGATATGAGTATAGGAAACTGATGTTCCAATAAGGTGCAATAATAATAATGAATGAGTTCATCAACACAGGTAATGAAAGGATTCTAATGTTTTTTCCCACAGAGTAAAAGTGCAGTGAGTGTTTCATATCCTGAGACATGTAACAGGGACAAGGGTCATCAGGAACAAAACAACAAAGATTTTCTTTCCTATTATAAAACCACTTACTTCACCCTTAAATAGCAGCTTTGAGGCACAGAGTTACGACCACTTCATGCTCCATCAAAGATTTCAGTGTATCAGTAACAAAAAACACGACTTTTTTGCCAAAAATATGTCATTATTTTGTAAATTCGACTCACTTAAAGTGGCAACGTGTGACTGTGAGAAGTGCCTTTCAGAGTTGTGTTGTAGCACACTCACAAATGAATAACCCGCATGGTGCACCCATCAGCAGGGAGTTCAAAAAGACCTAAACTGTATCCAAAAGAGCAACAGCACTTTTGTGCCACTGTGTTTATCATTACAGCGGCAATATTATCATTATCATCGACTTTTCAGATCACTGTGTGGGCTGAATGATTGAGGTATGCAGAATGTCAGTACCTATGGAAATATTTTGCTGTAAATCAAAGGAAAGGCATGATACACGAAGACCCTGAGCCTCAGGTTGGTGTCTAATCATCTGATGGAGAAATGAATGGACCATCTCTTTGGTCCCTTCTTGTGACTTTCACATAAATGCCATTTTTAGGTCCAAGAGTGCTTGACGACTTCAGCTCAAGAGGAACCTGAAGACAGAAGAAGTGCATCTTTACATATTTATGTAAACAGCAAATATGAAGGCAGCTAACAAATTATGAGTGAATTGTTTGAAAGTTACGGCACTTTCTAATGTCCAATCATCTCCTCTATGATCATTATTACTGACTGTCCAAGTATTTACATTGCCTACACATTTTAGTACAATAAATAAATAAATGAATACCTTGGTCTCAGAGCAGGCCACAATGCTGAAGCTTTGGAACAGGCGCACTAAAGCCATTTTGATTTCAAGCTGGGCGAGCCTCATTCCCACACAGTTACGAGGGCCGGCCCCAAACGGTAGGTATACGAATGGGTGTCGACTGGCCTTGGCCTCTGGTGTAAACCTGGGGATAATCCACAGGTTAGGTGCTTTGGGGGAGAATTAAAGGCAGTGCCAATACAAAATCATCCTGTCAGTTATGTGTTTCATTTTAGAGATGATTTTAATTTGGAAAAAGCAAGGCAAAAGCAGGCAACTTTTTCAACGTGAAGCTCAAAACTCAAAGGACAGAGTCAAACTGAACAAGTAAGTTTCTGGCAACAGGCTTAAGGTTTTTTTGAAACTGTTTAAAACAGCAGCTGGCCTTTTAGAGGCATCAGTCTTATAGAAAGGTATATCTGTGTGTTATCGTATAGCATGAAGAGACATTGTGTGTTTTCTTTAATGCTACTTAATCATCAGAAAATAAACTGGGACATGAAATTAAATCTTGTGGTTCACCACAAGGATAATGAACGGTTGCCCATGGTGACTAAAAAGGATCTTTCTAATATATCCAGAGGCCATCACAGAGGTTGTATACAAAAAGGGAATATCTTTCAATGTCCACAGAAAAATTATGGAGATTCTCGGTTGTGGTGAGCATAGTGTGCTGGGAGGCAGCAGACCATTGCAATGGCAGATAGTGATTATTTTACTGCATTAAAATGTATAATTGGTACACTGTACTTTGATCAGAGACGTGGCACACAGCCATGTCATTTGAGCGCTGCACATGGTGTACTTTCACCAGACAGATGGATGAACAACACCTTAGGTTAATATTTGTCTTGTATTAATGTTATTACATCAACATTTGATTGACTTCAAAGTTAGTTACAAGTGTTGATATTTTTAAATTTGAATATGCTCCGTTTGTCATTTATTAGAAGTAGACTGAAGCACCTCTCTGGGATGAACTCCTCAGGCTCTGGCCAATGTTCCGGGTCATAATGGAGGAAGCCTGCAGGGATCTCCACTGTGATCCCTTTAGGAAGGAACTGGCCATTCACTACACAGTCATGGTCAACTTCTCGTGCAAACCTTAATGGGACAAAATACAGAATTAACGTAATACAATTAAACTATACTAAAAAGAAAATCGTTATAATAGCTTTTATTTTTAAAGTCAAAATAAATCTTTCACAGGACTCTGCAGTCCAGTGAAAAACTACATACTTCATGAGTTAAGAGGGTAATTAGCAGCTAGGTGCAGTTAATCAAATGCATTTTATTGATTGATCAATAATTTGACCTCTATAAAAGATATAAAACGGTTCGTGTTAACTCAGTGCCAAGAAGGAAAAGTATCAGTTTAGAGAAGCAATTGTTCCTGTTCATCAATACAGGCATGGTCAGAAATCAACTTCGGGTCTGTTGTTCTATAGTGAGCGAGATTATTCACAACTGGAATAATTCAAGACCGTTGTTAATCTTACCCAAGCAATGAGAAAGACTGAAGCAACATTGAGAGACGAGTGGGCAAATTTCTCCACACTGCTGTGAGACTGTTATACTGAAAACCATTACTTCAAGTTATTCCTTATACATCTGGTTCTACGAGCTACTGAATCATGGGGTCGATTTCCTTTATCACAGGACAGCAAAGAGCCTGAAAACTTTCTTTTACATAAAGTAATGGAGATGATAAGCAACAATATTCAGACAGATAGTGACGTTTAAATAATGCTCAGCTAGTAATAAGGGGCCCAAAGTGTGCCTGGAAAATATCCCCCCACACCATTACATCCCCAACAGCCTGAACTGTTGATACAAGGCAGGATGACTGCATGCTTTAATGCTGTGCAAGAAATACAACACCATCTAAATGTCCAACTGGTGAGAGCAGGCAATATTTTTCTAATCTTCTGTCATTTTGGTGAGCCCATGTGACCTTCAGCCTCACTTCCCTGTTCTTAGGTTACAGGAGAGGCAACTCAAATATCTCCTCCTGTGAAACTGCCTGCTTCGAGATTCAATGTTCTGTGCAGTCAGAGATGCATACCTCAACTGTAGTGAGCGGTTATTTGAATTACTCTTTCCTTCTATCAGCTCAAAGCAGCCTGGATATTCTCCTCAGACTTCTGGCATCAACATTTTTACCCAGAGAACTGCTGCTAACTGGATATCGTTTCTTTATAGTATCATTAAACCCCCAGGAATGGTGCACAAAGATCCCAGTAGATCAGCAGTGGTTCATTTATTTAGAGCACCCTGCCAAAATTACTTCACGTTTCAGTGTGTACGTGTGCAACAGTGTAAAAGAAAGACAGCTAAAGTTTTAAGTGGATTGCAACTTGTTACATTACT